GTTAGGGTTAGGGTTAGGGTTAGGGTTAGGGTCAGTGTTAGGGTCAGTGTTAGTGTGAGGGTTAGGGTCAAGGTCAGGGTTATTGGCAGGGTCAGGGTTAGGTTTCCTTTCAGGGTCATGGTTAGAGGTATGGTCAGGGTTACATTTAGAATTAGGTTTAGGGTCAGGCTTACGGTCAGGGACAGGGTTAGTTTTAGGGTCAGGGTTAGGGTCAGCGTCAGTGTTAGGGTCAGGGTTTGTGTCAGGGTTAGTTAGGGTCAGTGTTACGGTCAGGTTCACTGTCAGGGTTAGGGTCAGGGTCAGGGTCCGTGTTAGGGTCAGGGTCAGGGTTTCGTTTAGGGTTACGGTTAGAGTCAGGGTCAGTGTTAGGGTCAGGGTTAGGGTCAGGGTCAGGTTCATGATTAGGGTTAGGGTTAGGGTCAGGATCACACTCATGGTCACGGTCAGGGTTAGGGGTTAGTGTTAGGGTTAGGTTTAGGATTAGGCTTCGGGTTAGGGTTCTGTGTTAGGATTCGAGGTTAGGGTTCGGGTTCGCGTTCTGGTTCGTGGTTAGGGTTATGGGTTAGGTTTCGGGTTCCGGTTCGGGTTCGGGTTAGTGTTGGGTTAGGGTTACGGTTAGCGTTAGGGTTAGGGTTACGGTCAGGTTCAGGGTCAGTGTCAGGGATAGAGTTAGGGTTTGGGGTTAGGTTTAGGGTTAGAGTTTGTTAGGGTTAGGGTTACGGTTAGGGTTAGGGTTTGGGTCAGTGTTAGGGTTAGGGTTAGTGTTATCGTTAGGGTCAGGGTCAGTGTTAGGGTCATTGTTAGTGTGAGGTTAGGGTTATTGTACCAGTTATGGTCAGGGTCAGGGTTAGGTTTCCTGTCAGGGTTAGGGGTATGGTCATAGTTACGTTTAGAATTAGGGTTAGGGTCAGGTTCACGGTCAGGGTCAGGGTTAGTTTTAGGGACAGGTTTAGGGTTAGGGTCTGTGTTAGGGTCAGGGTTAGGGTCAGAGTTAAGGTCAGGGTTAGGTATGGTCAGGGTTACGTTTAGATTTAGGGTTAGGGTCAGGCTCACGGTCAGGGTCAGGGTTAGTTTTAGAGACAGGTTTAGGGTCAGGATCAGTGTTAGTGTCAGGGTTAGGGTCATGGTTAGAGTCATTGTCAGTGTTAGTGTCAGGGTTAGGGTCAGAGTTAAGGTCAGGGTTAGGTTTATGGTTAGTTTTAGGCTCACATTCAGGGTCAGGGTTAGGTTTAAGGTCACGGTGGGGTTCAGAGTTCGGGTCACGGTTAGGGTCAGGGTCCGGGTCCGTTTTACAGTTAGCGTTCGGGTCAGGCTCACAGTCAGAGTTAGGGTTAGGTTTAGGGTAAGGTTCGGGGTCAGTGTTAGGGTCAGGGTTAGGGTCAGGGTCCGGGTCCGTTTTACGGTTAGCGTTAGGGTCAGGCTCACAATCAGAGTCAGTGTTGAGGTTAGGGGTGTGTGTTAGGTTTAGGTTTAGGATTAGGGTTCGGGTTAGGGTTCACGGTTAGGATTTGAGGTTAGGGTTCAGGTTCCCATTCAGGTTCGGGGTTAGGGTTATGGGTTAGGGTTTGGGTTCCTGGCTTGGGTTTGGCTTATTCTTGAGGTTTTGGATTGGGTTAGGATTAGAGTTATGGTTAGGTTCAAGGTTAGTGTCTGGGTCAGGGTTATATTAGGGACAGGGTTAGGGTTAGGGTCAGGGTCAGAGATAGGGTTAGGCTTAGGGTTAGTGTTTGGGGTTAGGGTCAGGTTTAGAGTTAGGGTTAGGGGTAGGGTCAGGGTCCGTGGTAGGGTCAGGGTCAGGGTTACGTTTTGGGTTAGGGTTAGGCTCAGGCTCACCGTCAGGGTCAGGGTTAGGTTTAGGGTCAGAGTCGGGGTCAGTGTTAGGGTCAGGGTTAGGGTCAGTGTCCGGGTTCGTTTTACGGTTAGTGTTAGGGTCAGGCTCACAGTCAGAGTCAGGGTTAAGGTTAGGGGTTAGTGTTAGGTTTAGGTTTTAGATTAGGGTCAGGATTAGGGTTCAGGTTAGGGTTCAGGGTTAGCATTCGAGGTTAGGGGTCAGGTTTGCGTTCAGATTCGGGGTTAGGGTTATGGGTTAGGGTTCGGGTTCTGTTTCGGGTTTGGCTTCGTATTGGAGTTCTGATTCCAGTTAGGATTAGGCCCTGAATGGTGGCTCGGGGCAGGTCCATCTGTCTTCCCAGTGCTGACCTTCCTTCTCCTTGGCCCTCTGTCATCCTGGAGCCTCTCCACCTCCTCCTTAAACTATTATGAATGTCCCCAGGAGCAGGGTGGCAGGCGTGGGAGGCGTCTCAGGAGGATCTGCCGTGATCCTGGGCCCCAGACAACACTGAGAAAGTAGGCCCAGGACATTCTGTCATGAGGACTGGGATGAGGATCCCCTCCATCTCCTTGGGCATGAACACTGCTCCATTGCCTGCTGTCTCCACCACTGCTGTGCCAAATACTACTGAAAACACATCTGTGACAAACCGAGCCAGAGTTTCTGGGGCTGAGTCCCAGGCTGAGCCCTGCTAGGTGATAGGTGCACCTGTGGCCTGGGATGGGTGCCGCTCACTGTTGTCCCAGACAGGGGTGCCTGTCCCCCTTCTCTGCAGGGGACCTGCATTGGACCTCTGCTTCCTCACGTTCTCCCCAGGGCTGCTGGTCCCCAGGCCAGACACCTGCCAGCCTGAGGGTGACCAGCACTGCCTCCCCAGGGTTTCCTTTGCCTGAGTCCTTCCCCGGGAGCTCCTGCATCTCCTGACACACACTCCCTGTGTGCCTCTCCTCCCCCTTGAACTTGCGCGTGTTTCGTCTCTGTCCCTGTCTCTGTCCCTGTGGGACCCAGTGACTTGGAGCATGGATCGGAGCAGACCCATGGGAAACCTTTCTCTGGCCTAGGGTTGTGAGCGATGCTTTTGCCCTCTGCGGTGTGTCTTCCAGCTTTGTGCATTTGCCTGGTTTCTGTGAGGGCCACAGGAGGAAACAGCCGTGTCCTGTCTGGGGACCGACCGTGGTGTCCCAGCGGGAACAGGGGCCTTGGCCCCGACATTGTGCCCAGAATTCCGAAAGGGGTCCCTAGGATGACATCTCCTCTGTAACCCATTGGGCGTCTCCACATCCAATAAGGGAAATCCTAGGTCAAACAGAGAGAAGAAACAAAAACATAACAAAACAAAACCCTAAACGAGTGCCCTTTGAAAATCGGTGCAGACACAAAGGCACCTAGTGAGGGATTCCACTTCCAGAAACCTCCAGAACACGTGCAGGAACAGCAAGAGAAAGCAGCTCCGGGGTTGCGAGGGGCCAGGCTGGGGGAGCGATGGGCAGGGAGGGCTTGGGCTCGGGGTCTCCATTGGGGAAGGAGCTATCCTGCAGCGAGGTTCTGCGGTGTGGTGGCCCGGCGTCGGGAATGGACTTCATGCTCACGATGTGTTCAAGGGGAAACAAGAACTTTTATTTAAAAAAATAATACACAGCACACAGGAGAGGGACGGTGACGATAACGGTGACTACACACAGGAGAGGAAGAACACAGGGGGAGGGGATGAAACATTCTGGGGGGCTGTCGGGGTCAGGGGAGGGAACGGACGGTGTTTTTATGGGGAGATCTCCCCGCAGAATTGTGGGCTCTGGATGCGGGTCTGGGAGCCCCGCAGGAGCAGGTGTAGGGGCAGGGGTTGGGCTAGGGGCGGGGACAGGGTCAGCAGTCGTGGCCAGTGCAGGATCCAGAGCAGGAGCTGGGTCAGAGACAGGAACAGGAGCACAGGCCAGGGCAGGGAAGGGAGCAGGAGCAAATGATAGGGACTGGGTCTGGGGCGGGAACAGGGGCCTAGGCAGGGGCAGTGGAAGGGGCAGAGGTCCTGGTAAGGCCAGGGGAAGGATGGCGGCAGGTGAAGGGGAAGCAGCAAGGGCAGGGTCTGTGTCAGGGGCAGTAACAGGGGCACAGGCAGGTGAAGTGGATGCTGTCTTGGCAGGGGCCAGGGCAGGGGCTTGAACAGGCATCAGACCTGGGTCTGTGGCTGGTGCAGGGTCAGTGACCCTGGTAGGTAAAGGAGAAAGGACAGGGGCAGGGGCAGACGCAGGGGCAGGGGCAGGTCCAGGGGCAGGAGCAGGAACTGGTGCAAGTGCATTGGTGATGACTGATGCAGGGTCAAGGGCAGGAGCTGGTCTGGAGTAGTTACAGGGGCACAGGCAGGGGAAGGGGAGACCATCCTGGCAGTGGAACGGGAAGCGGCAAGGGAAGGGGAGGAACAGGGGTAGGACCTGGGTCTGGGGCACTCACCACTATTGTTCAACATAGTACTAGAAGTCCTAGAAACAGCAATCAGACAACAAAAAGAAATAAAAGATATCCTAATTGTCATTGAAGAAGTCAAATTCTCTCTCTTTGCAAAATACATGATTCTTTACATGGAACACCCAAAGGACTCCACCCCCAAACTATAGAACTCATACAGCAATTCAGTAACGTGGCAGGATACAAAGTCAATGTACAGAAATCAGTGGCTTTCTTATACACTAACAATGAAAATACAGAAAGGGAAATTAGAAAATCGATTCCATTTATTATAGCATCAAGAACCATAAGATACCTGGGAATAAACCTAACCAAAAAGGTAAAGGATCTGTACTCAAGGAACTACAGAACACTCATGAAAGAAATTTAAGAAGACACAGAAAGATGGAAGACCATTCCATGCTCTTGGATCAGAAGAATAAACATTGTTAAAATGTCTATACTGCCTAGAGCAATCTATACTTTTAATGCCATTCCGATCAAAATTCCACCGGTATTTTTCAAAGAGCTGGAGCAAATAATCCTAAAATTTGTATGGAATCAGAAGAGACCCCGAATTGCTGAGGAAATGTTGAAAAAGAAAAACTTAACTGGGGGCATCACTGTGTATGTTTTTTAATCCACTCAGTTTGCTAATATTTTGTTGAGGATTTTTGTATCTCTGTTCATCAGGAATAATGACCTTTATTTTTTTTGTAGTGTCTTTATCTGTTTTTGATATCACTGTCAGAAACCTTGTAGAATGCATTCCTTGCTCTTCAATTAATTGATATTGTTGAAAAGGACAGGTATTAACCCTCCTTAAATATTTGGTAGCATTCATCTATGAAGCCATCCAGTCCTGGAATTTGGTTTTTTGAGAGTTTTTAAAATTATTGATTGAATTTCATCACTACTAATCAGCCTGTTCAGATTTTCTTCCTGATGTAGTCTTTGAAGGTTGTATATTTCTAGGAATTTATAATTTTTTCTAAGTCATCCAATTTGTTGGCATATAATTCTTTTGCGGTAGTCTCATATAACCTTTGTGTTTCTGTGGTGTTTGTTGTAACTTCCCTTCTTTCATTTCTGGTTTTATTTTTTTAAGTCCTCACTCTCTTTTCTCTCAATGAGTCTGTCTAAAACTTTTTCAATTTACTTATCTTTTCAAAGAAGTAGCTCTTAGTGTCATTGATCCTTTTTTAGTTTCATTTTATTTATTTCCACTGTGATATTTCTTATTTCCTTCTCCTATTAACTTTGGGATTTGTTTGTATTTCTTTTTCTAGTTCCTTTAGGTGTAAGGGTAGATTGAGTTTTTTGAGATTTTCTTTATTTCTTGAGGTAGGCCTGTATTACTGTAAACTTTCCTCTTAGGACTGCTTTTTTTCCTTTAAAATTTTTTTTTTATGTTATGTTAGTCATTATACAGTACGTCATTAGTTTTTCATGCAGTGTTCCAAGATTCATTGTTTGCATATAACACCCGGTGCTCCATGCTCCTCAATACCCATCACTGGGCCAACCCATCCCTCTAACCCCTCCCCTCTAAAACCCTCAGTTTGTTTCTCAGAGTCCATAGTCTCTCATGGTTGGTCTCCCCTTCTGACTTCCCCCTTTATTTTTCCTTTCCTTCTCCTAATGTCCTCCATGCTATTCCTTATGTTCCACAAATAAGTGAAACCATATGATAATTTACTTTCTTTTTTTTTATTTTTTCAGTGTTCCAAGATTCATTGTTTATGCATCACAACCAGTGCTCCATGCAATATGTGCACTCCTTAACACACACACACACACAAAACAGACACACACACACACACACACACACACACACATATATATAATGAAAGTTGGCAGAATCTTTATATTCGTCTATAAACTAAAACCTAGAAATCCTTGTCTTAGGGTCTGCTTTCAGCAGAACCCCATTTAAGACTAAGTTTATTTTGGGTAGAATTCAGTAAAGGAGCAGAAATAAGAGGAAGTGGAGAAGTAGGTAGGAGCTGGATTATGTGGGGTTTTGTAATACCTAAAACACTTGCATCTAATTCTAAGGGTAATGGGAAGGGGAAAAAAAGGATAAATTACAATTTCTTAGGGACAAAAATAGTTGCAAATTGTAAGTATCATGACTCCTGGCCAAATTATATCACACAGACTACTGGAAGTCTATAATCCAAAAAGGAAGAAGTAAGTACAAATCGAGCCATGTTCTCTTCATGAAGGAAAAGAAATAGTCAGCTTTCTGTATAGCACAGATTATCTGAGGAGGAGAACAGATGGTTTTTACATTATTAATTGTGCAGAGCAGAAGAACACTGGAGAATAGTCCAGAAGCCATTTCTTTCTAGACAAAACACAGGAGTACTTCTAGCAATCTGCCTTCCCCAAGCTAGCTCTTTAAGCTTCCCTTTCCACTGGACCCATGGTGTCCTGAATTTCTCCAAAGAGAGGAATGGCTCCCTTGTTAACACTAGGGAAAACATCAGTCCTGCTGGCATCAGTTGTAAGATTAAACAAGGGTAGAAATTCTAGAGGCTTATACTTAGGAGTGCGGGGCCACACAAGTAGTTCAGCTTCTAGAAATATGTTTGTAGATATTCATTTGTGAAGATTTCTGTAGATCACACCAAACACGGTGTGGGGGGGGTGAGGTGGTGCTGAAAGTGGGCTTCAGCAGAACAACCCTCAGTGAACTAGGCACTCCCCAAGTGCCCTAGTACTTTTCAAGATTTCTCTACTGTGTGTGGTGCAGAATGTTTAATATTGAAGTACTCAGCTAATGAATCATTGACAATTATGTCAAGGACCAAAGATGTACTATACCTTGGCTAATTGAATTTAAATTAAAAAAAAAAAAAAGAAATACTGGATGACTAGAAAGAGGCTCAGACACCTTCCAATGCCAAACATTGCCAGCCTATTTACAGAGTAAACTACATATCCCTATTGAAAGTCAAAGGTTGTTCTAAATGCAACCTGAATTGCAGAGATTCCTGCCCCCAATGGGTTAATGCCTTGCATTGTTTACAGCCTTATTACTTATCATCCACACTCTATTCATTCTCTGCTACCAAAGAGAGCAGCGAAGCTTACATTTGCTAGGCCTAGACCAATCACAGAGTCATATACCTACTGATCAGTCTAAAAGTGCAGCAGAAACTCGGATTTGCTACTTAATTGGCAGGTGGAGATTGGTGGATCAATACACCAGCCTCCCCATCCCTTAGTAGGACAATCTTGAGGCATATTCTCAGTGGATTCTCAGAGAGTCTCCAAGAGAATTGAGACCTAGTTGCCCACAGGAGTATCCTGCTCAACATTCTTTATTGGATTTCTTTCTGTAGTAGACAAGGACGTATACTATCCTGATCCAGAGAGTGTGACTAGCAGCTCCAGATGTCAGCTCCTTCAGGGTCTACCTTCATTTTGGAGTGATCTCCCCTGAGATCAGGTTCTTGGGTAGCCCACATCTGGTGACTATGTGAGATTAGAATACAAAGGTGTGTCTGTCTTGGTCCCTTGCAGGGTGATGCCGATGAGCAATGTTTGCCCCAGAGCTCCCTGCCCAGCTGTCTGAGACTTTGTGAGGCCTGCATCACAGTACAGGATGCCCAATCCTGATTCCTCTTTCTTCCTTTCACAGATGTTGGTCCCTAATAAACATCTCATCCCCAAACTCAGCCAAGAACCTGCTTCTAGAAAGAGTAATCTATAACACTCTCTTTGCCATCTTACTCTACCCATGCCTTCACTTTTGCCTCCTGGGACCACAAATAAACCTCCTGCACTCAAATCTTCAACTGTTGTGAGGAGACTCAGACTAGAACTGGAAGGAAAGAGAATATTCTTCCTCATTTCTAGTTTTTCCTTCTGGATAGCTCCAGCAGCCAAACCATTGTCGAATTTCCTCTCACCACTTCCTTCCTCCCTAAAAGGGTAAACTGGGTATGTGTAGCCCAGCTCATTCCTCTTTCTTTTTTTGGGAGTGAGGCTGCTCACAGGAAATATGTGTTCTCTCCATTCCTGCATGCTCCCCATTTTCCAGAGACAGCTCACGATATAGAATCCTGTAGTGGTCAGTGTTGTTGGACTGGCTGAGTATCTAACTCTGGGGCTTAGTTTTGAGAAGTCCACTGGCCTGTAGATGAAATCCATATTCTTTAATATCTGGTTTGTCAATAAGAAAGATAGTATTTCATCTACCATTTGCTGATTTTTGTCCTGTGTCTATATTAAGAACTCAGGCAGAAGTGGAAATAATTTTTTAAGTTCTACCAAACCCCTTCACTTACTTAGAGTAAGTTCCAGCTCCTTAGTAAGATCACCTGTGTTGTATCTAAGCAAGGAGAGGGTAGTGGACATGGAGGCCCTGCTCAGATGTCCCATCAAGAAACCAGCTGCAGGGAACATGTTGACTGGTAACCTCAGCTGCTATCTTTTGGCTCCTCTGTGGCATTGACTCAGAGGCCAGCGAGACTGGGGCTATCCCAGCCAATGACTGACCACATTAGGATTCTAGTCAAGCCAGTCCTGCTAGATGAAGATTTTGTGTCTAAAAGGTGACTTTGGCTCCAGGACTCCCAGATGCCTGGTCAAGACTTTCTCAGAACTGCACTGCAGGATGAGGCTCTTTGTAATCAGCCTTTCCTCCCATTCTCCTTTCATAGATTTCAGATCTTCACTATGGTCAGAAGGCTCCCCTTTCTCCTTCTGCTCTTTT